ACACACACGATAGATGTATACTCAAATACATTCTTCTCTTTATGTATTTTTCCATTCATGCTCTTATTTTCGAAATGTATCTTTCAATCAGTCAATAGAGGAAGTCCCATTTTTTCATAAAACTTCCTCACAGAAGCAAGCATTTTTGCTCTTAAGTATTTACTCAGGTTTACTGTTCACCAAAAGTGAAAACTGACTGATTGATATCAATATGAAATTTTAAGAAGTGCAAAGTATGAATAGTTTTTATGTAAGTTATTCTTGAGAATAAGCATTTTGATATGCAATTTTTTTTGTAAGATTAATCTTTTAGATGATAGAGACAGATACTTGGCTATTACCTAGAGTTAATTAAGGTTATTGAAGGAAATGTTTCATGTTGTTTAGCTATATTAATCAAGATTTGCAATTTGAAAGCACAGGGTATTTATTATTGCCACCTCATAAAATTGTAACCTTATCTGAACAGATATAAGGATCTTAGCCTCTATAGTTTTGTGTTTAAAAGGTCTTATGAGTAATGACAGCTGGAAAGGGTCAAAGGGAGGTGAAAAAATCAAATAAAAAGCAGCTCACTTGAAATATAGTAAATAATTCATACTTGTTTTGCTGATCTTAAGTAATGAACAATTAGCAGTAAATTTTACCTCCATCTGCTGACCTTAATTCAGTTCACTGAAAAACCAAATAAAACCATGTAGTTTGAGTGCTTTTAAAAATAAAATTAATATTAAGGGATAAACATTATGGTAACTTTTGCAGTTCCATGTCAAATTTGCAGCTTAAATTGTTTTCTCCTCTTTGTAGTTTTGTAATTTATATTTTTAGGATGATATTTAATTTTAATAAGTAACTTAGCAGGTTTAGTTTTTTCTTTGACATCTTTATAGAATTGAAGCTTCGGTCACTTATTCTATTTCCTATAAAAATTTTAATATGATCTACAATTTCTTCTGTATCAGAATCTCCCAATGTACAAGTTGATCAAGCTGGAGAAAGAGTTCGTCCAAACTACAAACGCTGTGTCCTTATCTTAAGAGAAATTCCCAAAACAATGCCCGTGAAGGTATAATAAATTTCATTATTAAAGAATAGAATGTGATTCATATTTCTTCAGTTTCTTTTTCTTGCTATATCTTAAACAATCAAGCTTTGTGCTATTTTAGTCACTTGTTCTGTCTTTAATACATATGGTATTTCATTCTTGTTTTTAATTTAACTCTTGTTAATTCATTAACTCATATAAAACATTAATTTTTAATTTAAATTCTATATACTTAGTTGTTATGAGTTAAATTTAGTCTTACTTTAATTTTGTTATTGTGAATAATTATACACTCCCTGATTCCTTCCTTTTTATTTCCTCTGTACATGGAGGTCAGTTAGTTTGAATGTAACCATTTTGTACAACTGGTTTGTAAAGAATTTTATCAAACATAAGAATGGAATATATATAGTTAGGTTTTTGGCACAGCTATGTTCCAGTGAAAAATTATACCTCTTTTTTGCCCAGTGAACTATACCTTCCTCTGAACTTACACATTTGTTAGGAATAAAAAAAAAAATAGTGTGTATAATCACTTTCCAAACAGTTTTCGTAAGGAAAGCTATAAAATAATATTGTATTTTAGATATGTAATGGGCTAGGACTAGCAAATATAATGGTTGTCAGTATGTGTTTTTATGTTTATAATTTTATATATTGAATGCATGCATTCTGTGTGAGTGTGAGAGATTTATATAGTTATACTTTTAAAATTTTATAGGGGGATATTAACCAAGCATGGTGTATTTATAGTTCTGCATTCTCTGTTCATCTGTTTTATATAAGGTGATCCCAAAGTCAATGGTGAAAGTCATGCTGTGTCAAACATTAATGAAGCAGAGTGGGTATATTGGTTTGTCCCAGTTTGTTCATCCATCCTGATCTTATGAACAATATATTTCAAGATTGGATGGATATAGTTTGACCAAACTTATATAAAAGGTATTATATACAAAATTGTAGCCCTGATTAACTTTTGAAGGTTATGGATCAAAGATCAAGGTCAAAATGGCCACATAAGTGTTTCATAAACATGATTGCACTTGTTAGCATTATTTCAGTAGGCATATAATTCTTGTTGGTACAATCTTTGTTTAGTAGATGTGTAGTTTTTGTTGGTATTATGTTTGTCTTAGCAGACATACCTTTAGTTATTATTAGCTTTGTTTCAATTGATTTGCAGTCCTCGTGTATTATCCTTGTTTCATTAGACACTCCTTGTAGTGCATTACCTTTGTTTCAGTAGACATCTAGTTCTTGTTGCATATTACCTTTTTTTTTCAGTAGACATGCACTTCTTATGTATTAATTAGTTGTATTTCACTAGACATGTAGCTTTTTTGTGAAAAATGCTCAGGCAAAAGATACAAGTTTGAAACCAATTATACAGTGGATCCAAAATAGTGCAGAAAGACCCTCATGGCAATCTATTGCTCCATAAAGCCCAAGGGACAAAGATGTATTGGGTACAATGTGATTCATTATGCTTATAAGAGGGCTTGTTATTTTGGAAATACCAGTGGACAGAAATAGTGACTACAGTTGGTACTTCCACAAGCTCCATATTCTGAAGCATTCTGACATTTTCACAACTTTCCAACAGTTAACAGTTAGGTGTTAAAAAAGACACTAGAGCAAGTAAGATAAACTTTCTACTGAGTTGGATGCCATTTAGGAGAATTGGTTAAACATATGAACTGTGCTGTGAGCAAAAAGGTCCATGGGCAGCTACAGCAGCATTGTTGGAACACTACTTGAGAGTATTGCTGTTGATGTTTTTGATCCTCTGTCACAGATTAACTGTGGGAATAAATAAATCATGGTTGTGATGGCCAATTTCACCAAATGGGCAAAACCAAAAGTTTATGCTGTTCCTAACCAGGAAGCAGAAATTATAGCAAGGAAACTTGATACAAACTTGTTTCAAGATTTGGTGTGCCAAAGAAACTTCACTCGGATCAGGAACAGAACTTTGAATTAGCCTTGTTTGTAGAAATGTTAGATCCTTGGAATTAAAAAAAACTAGGACAACAATCCTTCATTAATCTTCTGATAACGTTGTGGAAAGATACAACCATACACTGTTAAATCAATTAGCCATTTATATGGATGAACATCAGAAAATGTGGGGTCAAGATCTTCCACTATTACTTAAAGAGTTATTGAACAGTCGTACAAGAAACTACAGGTAACTCTGTAGAAGAAGTTGTCATCAGAGAGTCACCTGCTGAGAAGCCCAGGTTTCCTATCAGGATCACTTCTAGGGGATGAACAAGGATGAAGACACCATTGGATTCATTTAACCACCTACCTAGGAAGAAGGAACAAGAGGTCATTCCATGTGTATACCATAACCCTCAGAAATGAAAAACAACAAAAAGTCTTTTTAATGGACAGCTTAGCATAGTTTAATTTTTGTATTGGATTGTTCAAGGGACTTTATAATCCAGGAAGGAGGCAGTGTAGGAAGCTGTATTTTCAATATTTTAATTTATATTCAGTAGAGGGTGCATGAGGTTAAGATCTAGTAAATATGATTAATATCTAGATAGATATATTTGTATAAATGTGAATAAGTAGTTAATGATCCAGTGTGAAGTATTCATTTAAATAGTGACTGAGAATTGGGAGGTATTAGTGATCATATATATTCATTGTTTGTCTGTCAATTTAATTGATCAGTTAGCAAAGAAATTCTGTTGAAAGTGAAAATGTTATTTGCAATTTTAGGCTTATAACTGTGTACAAGTGAAAGTAGCCTGTAGCAAACATTAAGGAAGAAGTAAGCTTATTTATTCTTGTTACATGAACTGGACTTAGCCTAACTTTTATGAAATAATCCAAAAGAAATCAACCAATAATAAATCACATTACAACATCATCATTGAAAGATACTACAGTAGCTCATTTTTTGTACTTTTATTCTGTTATTCAGGTATTCTTAGGGTTGCCACCTGTTACATATTTTAAGGAACTGTTCTTTATTCAGTAGTGAAATAGTGTTCCATTTCAATTAAGGAAAGAATGTGAGTTGTTCCTTATTTTGCATAATTGTTTATTTTAACATTAGTTTCCAACAAATTTGCCACCTGTTACATATTTTACAGAACTGTTCCTTATTCAACGGTGAAATGCAGTGTTCCATTTCAGTTAAGGAAAGAATGTGAGTTGTTCCTTATTTTGCATCATTGTTTATTTTAACATTAGTTTCCAGCTTCAAAAATATGCTGAAAAATATCAAACACCAACAAATTTTCCTAATTTTAGAGCTGTTCAGGTGGCAACCCTAGGTGTTGTGCATGATATATGGTACATGCAAAGTGTTGAAAATGCTTATTTGATGACCTTAAGGAAAAGGCACATTAACAACAGTTTAGTTACTGTTTGTTCTTTAAAGCAGGTTTGCTATACAACTTTATTTGTTAAACCACAAGTACAATAACTTAGAAAACATTTTTATTGTTATTGTAGCATTTAAAAGTCTAAACCAAAATACAGAAATAAAGTTTTATCACAAAAACATTCATACTCCTTCTAGTGACAACACATTTGGTGAAAGTCAAAAACTTTTATTGCTCTTATACAACTGAATGAACATCACAAATATTTGAGTTGTTCAAATTTTAAGATCACTCATGTTGCAAAAATGATTTGTTTACTAGATTATTTGTTTGCATTTATTAAGTATATATTATAAAAAAATTCTTTCATTCTTTGTACTCATATATAGTCCAAAGGCAATTGCCACATTTCTCCCAAAATCATACAAAATCTGATTTTTGTTTTTTTTCATAATAAAGCCAAGTTATAATCTTAACACACCTCTTGTATGGGTAAATTGGGTAAAATTTTGTGCAAGGGGTACAGTTACCAAAAGTTGATTGCAGAAATGATACCAAATGAAAGTACTATTTATAAGGATTTCAGTTCTTTTTGTTTTTTTTTAAGAACAAAATATTAAGTATTGAGGAAGATATGGACACAAAGATCAATGTATAAACAAATCTATATTAGAAATGTTAGATAACTAGCACTGCAATTGTAAACATTCTCGTTTGGAATATGTTAACAAGATAGTGTATGAAGCTAAAATATTGGGGAGTCTATTGGATTTTGATATCAATTTTATGCAAACAGAAAACTTTGTAATTTTGTAGTGAAGCACACAATGGAGCTATTAACAACTCACTGGATAGAATGCAGTGGAACTCTTGATAGTACTTCAATAGTGTTTTTCTTTAACTTGATACTTTATATGATTTCTTTGGTTTCTCTGCTACCTCTTAATTTGTTCTCCTATATTAAATGGTATAATTATTGTGCATCATTGGATAGGATAATAGAGCTTGTTTTCTTCAGTACTAAAAAGCTGAAAGTAATTAAATGGCTTCCTTTATAAATAGAATTAAAGATTCACTTTAACATGATTTTCAACATAGTAAATTTCTTGTCAAAGAAGCATCTGTTCCAAAAACATCTCTATTATATCCACTTGTGTTCTTTCATGATGTATTCACCTTGTCACCATCACATTCGAAAGCAACCCATTCCAAAGACCAATCACCCTGTTAGAAAAATAAAACTGTCTTAGCTGAAGATAACTATTACCTTGCCAAAATTTATATTTGTGTCTCCTAGTCCTACTAATATCACTGTTAACTATGAAAAAAGATGATGCATCAACACTATCAATTCCCTTTACAGTCTTACACAACTCAATCAGAACCCCTCTGACTCTTCTTTTTTCAAGAGAAAACAATTTGAGAGATTTCAACCTCTCCTTG